AAGTGACCTCCCTCAGGCAGCCCACTCAGCCTAACACCCAAGTCAGTAGCCGCACGAATCCTGAAGGGGAGCGACAGAGCACTTACGGCCCAATCCGCACCTGGCAGCTGGCCGGCCTCGGGTCTGCAGCCTGCTGCATCCAGGAAGCAAGTGGCCTTCCCACCGCATCAGGCACCTTTCCCTACGTTACGCAGCAGCATTTGGACCCAGGATACCCATCAAAGTCTCTTTCCAGAATGTGTGTGAGGACCACTGAAAGGCAACCGGCCCCAGCTGCTCACACCCAGGGGCGTCTGGCACATGTAAGGCAGTCACGACTTTGTGAAGACCTCGGTCTGGAAATGGGCACCTGCAAGATCCAAACTCCCTTGCTCCCTGGGGGGCCGTTCTTCCCCAGGACACTGGCGAATCTCGAATCTTGTCTTGGCTGGGGCTCTAGGCACAGGCCTGAGGGACGGCTGTAGGGAGAGCAGCCCTGGGAGAGCCCCCCAATCGTTTAACTAAAATCACATTCAAGGCATAATTAGCAGACAGCTCCAAATGCATGATGTGAGGCCCATCGGCGCTAATGGGCTAATTAGTTCAGACATCCTTGGGCGGGCAATACACTCTGGCCTTCTCAGAAATAGCCCAGGGAGCTCAGGAGATCAAGGCTGGCAGCTGGTCCAGGAACTGCCTTCCTATGACTGGGCAAAGAGACAAACGCATTTCCTAGGCAAGAAGGACACCGTACCGTGTGCCCAGCTTAGAGAGAGCAACAAGCATCTCCCTACTGACCCCCCAAGAACCAATCCTTGCAACACTCGAGTTGTGGAAACAATTCCCCACTCTTGCCAGTCAGAGGCATGCCCCCTGCCTCCTGAACTACCCAGCTCCTTCCAAATTTAAACTAATAGCGACAAAGGGCATGAACCCAGGGTATGTGTGCACACCTACACATGCGGTTCTGCTCTCCCCAGGTACCTCTTCTCTTGCTCTGTAAGCTCACAGCAACTAAGAGTCGCTGCAAAATGGCTCATCATCCTGGAGCAGAGGAATGAATTACAGCACCGGGGAAGCCCCCCAAATACCCACAGCCACAAACCAACCCCAGATCGCAGGCCCTTGCTGCGTTGCCAGCTTTCTCAATCCAAGCTGCTTCTGAGCAAGTGGCCAGGGTCCCATACAGTGCAGAGGACTCAAATCTCAATGAAAAGTTGGCAGAAGCAAAGTCCACATCTCTGGGGGGCCCCCAGTGCATCTGGGATGGCAGCAGGTGCAGCCAGGGAACAGAATCCCAAATCTGAATGCAGTGGCCAGCACCCAGAAGTCGAGGGTGCTCCAAACCACAGCACAGTCTCCCAGAGGGCTCCCTGGCCGGAGAAGTTGGGAAACTGCTCGATAAATGGGGTGTGGGGGGGGGGGACACTGAGTTACACTGAAGCCACATATTTGAGATTCACAATTTTATATCCACACAATAAAGGCTCTGAAGAGCCCTGTAGTACAGAGACCTTGGTTACTGGATTCATTGTTTCCAAACTTAGTTTTGCATAGGTTCTTTCCCCCTAGAATCTAGTGGGACAACAGACGTGGGAAATACTGTCTTTAAGAAAGACTACATCTGGGCAAGGTAGATGTCACAAACTGCCATCCCATGAGAGCTGTTCCTTGGATGGGAGTGGGTCGGGGCTAGGGTCTGCACAGGAGGTGCACAGAAACACCCTCTCGTTTTCCTGCAAGAACCATCTTGGCTCATTTTCCCCATAACCCATCTTTGGTAGCAATTTGTTTTTTCTATGAGAGAAATAGAAATGTTTACTTAAAAGAAATATCTCTGTAAGAAGAATGATGAAAAGCAAGAGAAGCAGACACAGGGCTGGTGGGCACCAGGCAGCTCGAGGGGACACAGGCCGCGCCCACAGGCACAGGCACAGGGCCCCGGCCAAGAAATTGAGGCCGGGATACCAGATTTGCCACTTTTAAACAGAAGTCTGGAATCTGGACTTCTCTATGAAAACCCCAAGTTTTATTAACACCGGCTCAACATTTTTAAAAATTTGAAGGTCCAATGAGACCTTTGTGAGGGCAAGAGTCAGCCCACCAGGCTGCAATCTCGGCCAAATGGGGTGGCCTAAGCACGGAGGAACTAGTGCCGTCACCCTCACCCTGAGCATCGGTGGCCAAGATGCTCTGGGAGAACTGGTACCGTGTGGCTGGAGAGCTGTCACGGGGGCTCTCCCTGCACACCTGCTGCGATGCCCAACGCACTGAGGGCCTCCCAAAGACGCAGGCTTTGCCACTTAACCACGCACCACCCCGGGGCCAGGCTGGCTCCCAGGCTGCCCGGGAAACCACAGGCCTGTGGAGGCTCCGGGGCACTTTCAGAATCATGAGGGGGGTGGGCTCCCCAGTTGTGTTTCTCAGAATCTCAAGGAGTGCAAGGCACGTGGTGAGAAGCTGGGCCTGAGTCTCCCGGCCAAGCACCCGCAGCCCCCAGCAGCAGGGCCACTCCAGACGGTAAGAGAGGTAGAAGCTTCCAGAACGTGGAGCTAGACTCGGCCAGCCGAGGAAGCAGAAGTGGGCTGGGAAGGAGGCTCAGGCACCGGCGCATCTGCAGAGGGAGCCGGGCCCTGAGCCAGGGCTGCGGCCGAGGCGGCTGCTGGCCCCTCGACATCCCTGCTCTCCCTTCCTATGACTGGGTGTCCCTGGAAGGTGGCTTCCCACATGGGACATTTCCCAGCACCCCTTGCCTCAAAGGAGAACAGGCCGCTCGTCTCACCCATGAACACGTGAGCAGGAGCCCGTGTGCCTCGCAGCCGGGGAGCTCAGGGGGGGAAGTGTTCCCCTCCGCCATCCCCTTCCACCTGCTGGAAGGAGGACGCTCAGCAGGCCCTTCGCACCACGGAGCCACAAGACAGAAGGCACCTGGGCCTCGCCAACCACCTTCACCTTCCCCGTCAGATTCCCGTCCTGGACCGGTGCGTGATAAGTACAAATCCCAGTGTGTTGGGCCACTACAGTGACACTCACATCCCGCGCTCACACACGGCCACTGGTGCTGGAGGATGATGGACATCCCTGTGGCCTTGATGGTGGCTTTCACAGGTGTATACTAACCCCAGACTCAGGGAGTTGTAAGCACTAACTAAGTACAGCTTTTCCACTGTCAATCAAATATCTATGAAGCAGCTTTTAAAATCTAAATGAATTCTGTAAAAATAATTTGGGCGGGGGGGAATCTATTTACCAAACCTACTCTGCCACACACCCTGCCACATGACGGGCTGGGAAGGCATCATTCTATCCCCACGGACCGGGAGAGCTCTGAGGTCAAGAGGCCAGGGGGCTTGTCCAGGGCCAAGACACCGCAGAGCCCAGGTTTCACACAACCCCCTGATGCCTCCGACAGTCCCTCCTGCTCGTCCCACAGTCCTTTCAGCCTGTCCAGGCCACACAAGTGGCCTCCCCACTACCCTGGGAACCACCTGAAGGTGACGCTCCGGCTATCAGTGTGGCCTCCCAGCATGCAGAGGGGACAGGGGTCCCTCATTACTCTCTCTGGGGAGGCACATGCCCACCTGCAGCCCTCTTGGGCCAGAGGTGGTGTCCCTCGAACACCCTGGCTCACGGCCCCAGGCCAGCTCTCTAAGCCAGCTCTCTCCACACGGGACGGTCAGAAACGTCACGGCGGGCAGGCCTGCTGATACCTGAGCACCACTCGGTCACACTGAGGATCTTCTTAGTCCCTAGTCACCAACACTTAACCAGGAATCCCTGGGGTTTGCATCTTCTCTGGTGCCCAGGGTGGGGGGTGACCAAATGTCCTCCTGTCATTGGACTTGGGGGTGCAGATGGCTGCCCCTCCCTGCTCTGATCTGCTGCAGCAATATGCACCTGGGGTGGCCACCAGGCGTCCATCAATGCAAGACTGGCTCAAGGCCTGGGCAGGACCCTGGGGGAAGTGAGGGCAAATTAGCACACAGTTCCAGCTTCCAACAGAAGGCCAGGGTAGGCCGAGAAGCCAGCAGTCACTCCCAGGAACACAGAATCTTCTAGAATATTCTGAAGAGGTGGACTGGTCACCAACTGGAGCCACAGGCTCCCTTCCTCATAGCAGGGTCTCTCAACCTCAGCAGTGGACAGTGGGGGTGGGTGATTCACCATTGCGGAGGGCTGTCCTGTCCACTGCGGGATGTTTGGGAGTCCCCTTGGAGGCTACCTACTAGGTGCCAGGGGTACCTCCCACTCAGTCACCAGATGTCACCGAATGTCCCACGCTCCACCGAGAACCCCTGCTCAGAGGGCGAAATGGTGTCTTCTCGGATCTAGGTTTCTACAGGCCAAATGTCTGTTTCTAAGTTTTGACTCGTGCCTAAGTTCTTTTATGCCCCGAGGGCCTCAAAACGTGAGTGCAGGTCACTGGCCACCACCTCCCTGAGCCCTGTGTCAGGTACAGATGGCAGAACGATAAAAGACCTAACCCACTTCTTAATGTGTGTGGCCTCGAGTTCCCCAAAGACCAAAAGGACTCCAGGCCCGGGGAAAGGGTCCTGTCAAGTCAGGAGGGCCACCAGGGTGGGGACGGAGAGGAAAACCGCACGTCCCCTCACCTGTCCAGGGGCGCTTCCTTCCCACCCCGCCCCCAGAGGCCGAGACCCGAGTCCCTTTCCAGGTGCCATCAAAGCGCTCCTCTTTCTCCCCCAAACACACGCAACTGCTCTCTGGGTGACGTTCCCAGCTCCTGTCCTGAGCCGGTCCTGGTCTAGGAAGCAAAACCTCCAAGAACCCCCCTCCCTCCTGGGTGCCAGGGGCTCTCCTGGTGACAACATGCCCCCTTCAGAAACAGCCCTCCTCGCTCCTGGCACCTGGCTTCAGAGCGTGTTCTGAGCCAATTTCCTTTCCTTTCCTTGGAGCGAGAATCTGGGTTACTAGGGGGAGGGCAGAGGAGAATCTAATAAATCTTGGAATATACTTCTTGGCAAAAGGAGAAGGGAAAAAAAAATAAAAACCACACACACCTACTTACTGGTGTCATGAAACGGCGCGGCGCGGAGCGGTTCAGAAGTCCTATTGTGTGCAAGCTGAATTCAATCAAGCTGGGAGCAGCAGCGGGGTCAGGCTTTCCAGAACGCCCTGAGCCAAGGCTGATGTTTAAAGGGAAAAGTTTGCAAGGCCTCCATAAATTCCAACGAGAGGAAGTTTCAGACCTGGGTGTTCACAGGGCTGGCCCCACATGGAAACAGCTTGGTTTCATGTATTTGGTTTTACTGTTCAAACTTTAGGGTCTTTTAACTTCTTATTTTTACAGGGCTCAGAAGAAAGGGGAGCCGGAGCCGTGTGCTCAGGCAGAGCCAAAGAAAACCCCAGGGCTCCCTCCGAGGGCCCCCGCCCGCGACGGCAGCGGGGCAGGGACGTGGGGAGGGACCCCCTGGCTCCTGGCAGGGCCCGCACAGCTCCTCCTGCCCGCTGGAGGCCAGGTCTGCAAGGCCAGCTGCTGACTCCCTCCGAGGAGACCCACTGGGGCAGCGTTGCGCAAGCGGAGGCCAGAAGAGCTCCAACTGTCACCCGGCTGCCACGGGGCTCCCGCCATCAGCAGCAGCAGAACAAAGTGGAGACTTTCCAAAAACAAGACGAGGCCCAGCTAGGACCCCAGGAACCCTAACTTTAGCCCCCAGGGAAGGACAGCCAGGCACCAAGGCATCCTCGGAAATGTCAACTGAGCCCACAAGCCCTCCCGGCCACGTAACCCCCAGCCCCCACCTTGAGCAGACCGTCCTCGGCTGCAAGCCTGATCCTGCGCCCCAGTTTCCAGTCGCAGGTCCACCCTCCAAGTCCACCCACTGGACAGGAGAAGCCACCGGGTCCCCAAAGCAACAGCATCAAGGCAGCATGTGCAGGGGGTCCTGAATTTGGACCTGATATCGACGTCTATCCCTGGATACCCACATGACCTGGAAGAGGGCACCTGGTCAACTTAGTTAGGCCCTACGCAATTCAGTGAGACCCTGTCTTAAAATAAAATAAAAAGGTACTTTTTATCAGTTTGTTTTACCATCTACAAGATGGAGGGACAAGTGCCTGTTGAAGACACCCATAGAACTCTTGAAGTCCCCGTGGGTACAGGTGTGTGCACGTGTTGAAGAGCCTCTGGCACCTCCCTGGCACGTCCAGGACCAGCTCAGCACCACCCCTACCAGGTGGTGACTCCAGACGTCCCCTTGGGTGGCCACCTCTCCCACTCCCACCCCGTGGCTCAGGAGGCCTGACCTGTTTCCATAAGCCTTCTCAGACACCTTCCGACTCAGAGTCACCGGGGTGCAGCCAGCCTGTCCCCAGGCACAGGACACAGTCACCAGAAAAGCTCCAGGGGCCAGGGGCTGGGCTAAGAGGCACTGACCACCCGACCCCACCAAGGCACCAGGAAGCTGCGCATCTACAGGGCCTCAGGTTCCACAGGACGTCAGGATAGGACCCTCTCCCCGACCTGGGGGCACAGAGCAGGGCACAGAGCAGGCAGAGCTCCAACCCCACCCCACAAAGCCCCGGGCTCTTCTCCCAGAGCACCTGGCTCCAAGCTGCCGGGCAGATCAGGGGCAGGAACAGCCCAGAGGGGGCCAGCGGGGAAGGTCCACCTGCCCCAGGGCAGCCCAGCATAGAGAGGTTTCCATGGCAACCCTCCAGCTGGAGACACGTAGAGTCACCTGGAGACCAGACAGCGGCAGTGGGCTCCCCGAAGGACAGGGATGGGGCGGGGCGAGGGTTTCCAGCTAAGAAGGAAACACAGAGCCCAGGAGCCTCTTCCTCATGGGCAGCTTCACGCCAGGCCGTGGGGTCCACACATCCAGGGAGGGTCGATGGCAGGCCCGTCTCACCCAGGAGAGGCTGGGCCCCAAGAGCTGCCCAAGGCTCGGGCCTGGTGGGCAGCAGGCCCAAGGTCCACACCCACTGACCCCAGAGCCCGCTCTCCTGCCTCCTCCACATGGGAAGCCAGCAGAGACCTGGGTCCGTCCCTGTCTCAGATGTGCCGAGCCACGAGGCTGTGCCCGTCTAAGCTGGTTAAGAACAACTGCGGGAGTGGTAAGCACCCACTTTTAGGATGGGCTGGTGGGTGCCTAGAGGATTCCTGCTTCCCAGAATTCCACAGCCCATTCCCTAAGTCCCCACCCAGCAAGGGTACAAAGGACAAGGTATGGTAAACAACCCCACCCCATTCAGCCAGCCAGCCAGCCCCAAGTAACATCTACTCCACAAAAATCCAAGATGGAAGCCACTCAGAAATGCCTTAATGGAACGCCCCCCCCCCCATCCCTGTTTAACAGACAGGAAAATGGAAGCCCAGAGAGGGAAAGGTACTTGTCCAAAGCACACAGCAAAGCAATTTCATTCTCTATGTGTGAACGGATGCCACTATGTGTCGGGCACCGTGCTGGACTACGGAGCTCCGGGAGTTAGTGGCGATAACCTACCCCCCTAGCACCATGGAGTTGATGTTCCTGTGGGAGATGGGCAATAACTGGACTGCCACATGAGTAGTTGTTAGTAGTTGTTAGCGGTGTGACCATCCAAGGAAGAGCAAGACACAGGGCATGATGACAAGGACTGTGGCAAAGAGTTCCAAAGCCAGTTCTGAGCGAGACTTCACCATGGGGTGAATGGGGACAACACAATAGAAAGAGTAGCAGCAAGCATCTCAGAGGGCACATGTGCAAAGGTCCTGGGGTGGAAACATGACAGCATGCTCCAAAAAGAACTAGAGTACCTGGGACAGAGGGACTGCGGGGCAGGAAAGGGGGTGGGGGTGCTGTGAAAAGGAATTCAGATGTCCCTGAAAACACTGTGGGAAGTCGCAGGAGATTCTAGTGATCTCACCGCCGGCTGTAACAGCAGCCTGGCTGAAGTCCTGGAGATAATTTCAGAGGCCGGTTGGAGTCATCTAGGTCAAACAGGATGGTGGCTGAACACCAGCCTGGGACCAGAGTGGGGAATGACAAATTTGGGCTTCTCAAAGTCACAGAGTTAACAAAGGACGTCCCCCTGTTGGCTCTTCAGCTGGAGGAACGAGGAATGGCCCCCAGGTTCCTGGTCTGGGCAGTAGGTGCACTGAGGGCCTCCACTGGGAGGGGCAGGCCTGGCCGGACGGGCTGAGGTAGAGGAGGAGGTGTCCCCGACGGGCCATCAGGTGGTGGCAGGCAGTGGGCACCCAGGTCTTCAGACCACATGAGGCTCCCAGGGTCCCCCAGCCCCAAAGCCACCACTTGCACACACAGCCCGGCTGGCCGGCCACCCTCCTGGCACACCCTCTCCTCTCTCCCAGGTGACAGAGCCCCGCCCCGGGTCTCCCACACAGGGACCGCAGAATCGGGAGACTGGGTTTGACAGTGAAGGGCTGTGCCTGAGGTCCCGGGGCCAGCTCCAAGTCACTGAAGATTTCTGAGTCTTGAAATGGACCTTTGACCCGACTGTCCACGTGGGGTGGTGGGTGGGCAGCCTGTCCCCACCCACTGCACCCAGGCCTCCCTGGGGAGGTAGCCTCAGGGACGAGATGCCCAGCACGGCTCAGCCCTGACTGATGGCTGGACACCGACACAGACAGGAGTCTGCTGGGAGCCCGCTGAAGGCCCCGCTGGCCGGCCCTGGGGCAGAACCCCCCCTCCCCCAAGGCCAGGTCGGTGCTGCTGAGGTTCGAGGAGGGGGCTGTCTGGCTCTTCACCCTCCTGCCACATTCCACCCTCAGCAGGAAGTGCTGCAAAGATGTCACAGCCCGCCGGGGACACACTTCCCAGGTGGGAGACGAGGCCGACAGACCTTGCCCTTGCGGTCACTGCAAATTCTAGAAGCGGACTCCTTCTCTGAACTTCCTTCAAAAGCCAAGCGTGTTACCTCTAGAGCCACCAACTGTCCCCCTCATGGACTGCTTTCTGGGCCACAGGTACTGAGCTAGGGGTTTCTGGGGCATGCTCACTGGCTCCCACTTTTCAGATGAGGAAACAGAGGCACAGAGAGGTCGATGCACTTGTCCAGACGTCACACAGCTCGTGACTGGCACAGGCAGCACCTGCATCGGGCCTGGCTGTCTCTGAGCCAGAGCAGCGTGCCTCCCGTCGTCTATCACCCCTCCCCCACACAGAGCCTCTGTAGACATCCACTTTTCCAAATCACCCACCAAGAAATTTTAATGCCACCAACATTCCATGTGTCTGATTAAGATTTTAAAGTGTCACTCCCCTGGGGATGGTGTCATCCTCACCCAAAGTACTGAAATCCCCAAACATTATTATTATATGTACAAAGCCACAAAAAAGAAAATGACAAATAAGAACTTGTGCCTTCTTTTTCCCCCACACTAAAGCTTTCAAATTCCCGTGCCTTTGCAAGCCAGACTGGCCATATGTCACAGCTCACCACCTCCCAAGGACAGAGGCCACCCTGGCAGACACTCTGCTAAAGCAGCACCGTTGATCTCCCTCGAGCTCTTGACAGACAAGCTCCCAGGGACCCTCCCCACACAAGAACCCCCAGAATCTCTACCACTCCTCGGCAGCAGGGAAGGGTTCTCAGGACCTAGTGGGTCAGGAAGGGCTCGGGGCTGCCTCTGCCCTCCCCCAGCTTAGGATCCAAGTCGGGGGAGCAGAATCCAGCAGGCCTCGGCACCTGACAACTGGGGATCGGAAATACCGGGGGCGGGGGCCGGGGAATGTACCTGTGTTGGATACGTAGACTATTTTTGTTTTTATCGTTACAATAAAGCCCAACACCCCCTCACGCAGCACTGACATTGTACTGGGTTCCCTAGTGAAATGGTTTTCGGGACGTCCAGGGGGTGCACAGGCTGAATGCAGACAATACGCCATTTTACGTAAGGAACTCGAGCACCGTGAGTCTGGGCATCTGCGGGGGCTTCCTGGAAACAACTCCCTGCCATACCGAGGGACAGGCGTCCCTGCCACAGCCTCCTGCACACCAGGCCCTGGGCTTCCCCCCACAATGGCCGCCTTTCAGCCTCTTACTGAGTCTAGGATGTGGGTTCTTTTATGACTGGTCCATTTCATGGATGAGGAAACTGAGGCTTGGGAGAGCCTGGATCTTGCCCAGGGCCCTCCTGGGTGTCTTGCCAGATCCAAAGGAGAAAAAAGAAGGTGCCCGCAGACCAAGGTGTGGGCTCTTGGGAACAGCGGGAGCCACCGCAGGGAAGGAGGCTTCAGGAGCTGGTGCCCACGAGGCGGCGGGAGACGGAAGGAGGTTCCCAGGTCAAGGCCGGGGTGCGGGCGTGGGCGGGCAGCACGGGGCCCTGGGTGTGTTCCCAGGGGACAGGGGGGCACTGGGAATCCTTGCAGCCGGGGGCAGAAGAGGGAGTCCTGGGCCCTGAGATGGCCCCGCAGGCACCGTAGGAGAGGAGCCCACGCCCCGTCACCCCTGCCCACCCCAGGGGCCATGATGCCAACGGAATCCAACTTCCCCAAATATTTACCAGAAGGCTCTGGGCACCAGGCTCCGCTCTGTAAACTTGGATGCCATTCCAGAGCCCGCACCATAGATCTCCCAGAGAACAAGATAAACTCTCCCTCACACTCTAAATAATGAGAGGGAGGTGGGGGGAATAAATCAACCTCCCCCACCGCCCAACTTAAAAGGGATGGAGTGAGCCCGAGCAGCGCTGCCGAGTCCTTATCAGGCAC